TTTTTTTGCCCCCCCCCCTGTAGACGCCTGCTACAAAATACTTCAAATCACCACATTTGCCGAAAACTTGTCTCCATGACTCAATAAACACAAGTATAACTTCGGGACGAGCTAACGGGCAGGGGAGTGGTACACGTGACAGCGCGGCCTGCTTCTGCACGTCTGCCCTCCCCCTGAATGATCCCTGCCTGCTGAAGCTCAGCCTCAGCGAAATGAATGACCACCACCGCAAGCAACCTGAAATGGTACTTTTAGTCTCGCCGTGTTTTCCCAACTGCATTTGCACACGGGCTCGAAATCCGCGCCACAGGCGAAGCCGTCAGAAGTGGTCCGGGGATCCGGGGTCCGTAGTTTGGGCACCAGGCGACTCCGTACTATGCGGATAAAATATTCGCGTTCAGAGGGTCAGAGTGCCCGTGAGCACCGCTTTCAGGCAATTCCTGTGATGTAAGGTATATTTGGCGCCGCACCTGTAATGCGGGCAACAAGCGAACTACCTCTGAAAGACAAATTTTTAGCCAAATCTTCCCACAAATCCCAGAGGAACCCCTTGCCACTGCCTTGGGCAATTCAAAGGTTCATCTGCGGGCTTTTTGTAGAGCGTTTTCTGCACTATCTTTATTTTCCATTTTACAGCATGACCTACACTTCATAAGTTGTCCTCGAATGCTTTGATCGTTAACGCTGGTCCATGTGAGTTGGGAGAATTGCTGTTGGAACGGCTCTTCCGGGAACGGATTGATAAGACCTTCGACGCGAGGAGTGTCGGCTGTTCGAGTCATCGATGGGCTCTGAAACGGATCTGCCAACAGAGGTCTTGGCACTTGATATGCAGAGGTTTAACGTACACTGAGGACTTTATACTGAGGTGGAACCGATATCTGCACATCTAGCAAACCAAGGCTTTCCATATAATTGAACTTTCTATCGATGTCGATAGCGTATGACTCTCTTATTCGCAGTCCAATCTGCGCTTCATCCAGCACCACGTAGATTTCGGACTGGCCTTTTTCCACGTTGTTCACGTAAACTGTGACCCCTGAAGGAAAATAGGTGTTTTCCATTGAATATCACAATAAACAAAAGGCAAACAGATTCTTGAAATCATATATAAGTCCCTAAGCTCGGAGATCTCACCTCGGAAGCGCTGAATGTGCATGTTGTCGAAATACCGTATCACGTTGCCAACAATGACTGATGTCTTATAACGCTGTCTGTAGGTGTCCTTACGCAATACGACATGTACTCTGCAACTTTTTCCATGGATGTAGTAATTGAAAAACTCCTACGCTCGCCAAATGACGTCTTTCAACATATGAAGGCGCAGGATTACACTGTACAGTAACTTCCCCAGGGGGAGAGTCAACGCTGATCAAGGGCGGAGTTAGACCCCATCGCTGGTGCGCCTTTTCTTCAGAACGGAAAGTCTATAGGTAAGAATGGCGCCACGACCAGCACGAACTGCGTCTTCGTGTTCCCTTCATTTCAAGCACTGGAAACTTTCCACTCGGTCGTTGACATGCGTACATA